AAGTGAAATGGGTCAAAATGTGCAAATATAAACATAGCAGCAAAATCTCATGGCTGCTAGAGCTTTACATTGTGTCGAACGTCCAACAGTCACTGCAATATCATTGTGTGCAAAATCACAATCACAAAGGACTGGATGCAAGACTTTAATGGATACAACATTTGATGTGCCATCTATTCATTGTCTCCCTACTGATAATATATTTAGCTAGTTGAGTGGGTCTTCAACAACAGGAGGATTTATTTAATGACTCAGTCTTGTTTGGTGAAGTGGTCTAGTCATAATAACTTGGTTAATCATCAAACTTGCTCAAGTCCTGATCACGTCCTCTCAGTGCTCATATGCCTCATCGGCGCCCAAAACCTCTTATGCATTATGAGTTTGCTCAGATTTACCAGATTGTGATTTTGTGTGCAACTATAACTAACAGCTTCTGTTTTCAGGGGAACGTTTGTCACACCAAAAAATGCCTTCAGCCACTACAGCTTTATAAGAAATTCAACCAGCAAGCCAAACAAATAAATCCAAACAGGATAGCTTCTGAAATAATTCAGCAGGAAAAAACACCATTTCTTTCCCCTCAGTGAAGTCAGCTCCACTCCATTCACCTGAATGTACATTAACATCCTCGTCTGAAACAGCGGCTGTATGAACGCACATATACCAGACCTCTAATGTACTGCACTCGCCCTCACCTGCAATCATATTTCTGTCTTGCTGGCTTTGCTAAATTCAATAAGATGCAATATATTTGGCTGCTACTTATTACGTGTGGTCCCCATCCAAGATGATATGCCATCAATCACTGCCACGCCAGAGATTTTTTTAAATTCACACTCCAACAAGAGCTAACAAGATTGGCTGGCTGTGCTGCTCTCACCAATAAGTGCTGTTAGGATTATGTATTCATACTAAAATAAGTCATGATACAATCGGGGAGCCCGTGGTTCAATATCCAATACAACGTAATATGATTGGCTTCCAGCAGCCGTGGGGTCTAATGTGATTGGCTCATATGGATTGCATTTCCAAGAAGATAGAATATGACTGTTCTCCGGTGACTTCGAGGTATTCAGTTTGCCAAATGCTTTCAGTCGGGCCAGGTTCAGTCTCAGGGAGTTTGGCACCGCCTCAGATCCACACAAAAAGACAACTGAGCTTTCCAGCAGGTATTTCCCAGTCTGCCTCCACTTGGTGCCAACAGAAACAGCAGTTGGGAGGCTTAGCCCAGATCCTTCTGTGCATAAGCCAGGAAACATCTCCATATTCCTTTTACAGAACCACAACAAAAAATGCATCTTCTGTGTACTTAGTTCTCTGGGACGGATAGCCCTACGACCTACTGACCCTCTGAATAGGATGTAATGCTCTTTAGAAAACGGCCAACTGCTCCGTGACAGACGTCAAAACAACTTAAACACTCCCGTAAAGCTGGTCAAAATGCAAACAGCTGCTAACATAATATCACTTCTATTTATTTGATTTCACTTTAAAAATGGCGGATGCTGCACAAACAGACAAGGATGTGAACCAAACGTGTCACTTTGTCTTAAACCTTTAATGAGGAAAGAAGGACAGCAACCGTCTGGCAGCCCTCAGTAGATTTACAGAGAACACTTTGACAAGGTAACTAGATTAATGTTCATATTTATCAGCAAGCAAAAATAGTCTGATGCAATTAAATATGTCATTACAGAGAAGCTATGGGTCTAATTATTAGTAGCCCTGCAGAAAATGCCTCAAAATTTGTGGGAAACGCTGAAAAAGCACAAACCTGACCCGGTTACAGCGGTTCTGTTAGGAGGAATGGGTCAAAGTTTCAGGAAACTACAATGAAAAACTTAAAGGATAACCAAAATATTTGGTTTACAAACCAATTATACAAAATACAGAAAAAAAAATTATGTCAAATTCTGAAGTACAATAAAGGCTTCTTACAAAACCATAATTTATCTGGAATTTAGCCCCAAGCAATTATTTTTTTTCTAATCCGAGCTGACAAAATTCAGGAAATGCTTAGTCTGATTTATATCATAAACTGAGGGAAAAAATATATTAGATGTTTGTGCAGGAGACAAAATATCCTGGAATTTAATATGAAAAATAGGTAAGAATTTATTCACAGCCCCTGTTTGGAACGATCTTCTTGTCTGCGTCTTTACAATAGAAAAACAGCTTTTTGACCGACTGGTTCAGTGACAGAAATGACTAATAATATGTTCTCTTGCAAAATAAACCAACAAAATAGAAAACAAGGATTCAAAATCCCATCTCTCCCTGAAGAATGAGGGATGAATAAAAGCATCAGGCATCTAGAGAATATTAAACTCCTCTGTCTATTCAGCCCAGGGTCTATTATGTTAGAGCGTTTGTTTCTGCAGAGAGCTGAATGTAGGAGGCTCTTGTTCTTCCAGGACTAATTTTTAATGTGTGCATGCAGCACTTCAGTGAAACAACAAAATGAACAGTTTATTATTTAAGCACGAAGCCTTCTAAGTTTTTATTTTTATTATTATTTTGGAGATGAAAAATCTCCGGCATCACTCTCTTTTGGACAAGGCAAATGGATAAATAGAAGAAGCCGTCTAAGATTACAAAAAGAACGTGTCGCCTTTTAACACCCACTCAGTTTAAACTACAGAGACGCCAGCCAGCCTCAGTGGCATTTTTCTACTACTCCCATTATTGGCTTTAAGTGTTTGCTGCTTTGCAGTCTGCTGAGATCTGACAATGCAGAGGGTAAAAGTGAACACTGAACAAGCACTTGGCATCTTAGACTTTGCTCCTCAACACATATTGTTCACTTTAAGTATTCAAATACGCTACATTTGCTTTCATAAATTTAATTTTTAAGGCACTGAAGGTTTTGAAATTGTGCAAAATAAAAAAAAAACCCTCATATTTTCAGTCTTTAAAGTATCCATCACCAGGTCACAGTTGTTCCCTCTACTATAATGGAACTTGTCTGTTCTGTCCCTGAACCGTCCCGTTAGCTATAAACCGTTGGACGTCTCGTGCCATTTTGTCATTCGTTCCAGTTCTAGCAGGAGTTCCTGCTCTGCTGCTTTGTGCTCATCATTAATCTCTCCTGTTGGGTTTCTGTCCTGGTTCTTGTCGGTTTCCTGTCATGTTGGAGCAGATGGTCGCCTACAGAAACTTGCTTCCTGTTAGAGTATTATATACATAATCAGGAAGGGGGACTGAATCCAACTTCTCATCACTTATTAAGGAAGATTTTTTTATTATTATTAAATCAACATGATAATTTTATTACACTTGTATTAAAAATTCAAACAAGATAAATATTGGTTTTGGCTATCAAACTGTAGCACTTTAGTTTCAGAAACACAAATTAACCATCAACTAACTTCCACTTATTCATATTAGTTATACATTAATTCTCAATGAGTCATTATTAAATCTTGTTTATTACTGCAACTGACAATACTACAGGTAATATGACAAATAGCAAACAGCTAATTATGGATTATGGTCTATTAAAGGTAAAGAGATTGTTGCATATTAAATTTGATCTTAAACTCTGTTACATGTTTGGAGGTAATAGTTTTCCTACCTTAACAGAACCTACAAAAAGGTTCTGTTCTCATTCAACAAACACCAAACGACAGCGGCAGCAGCAACACTCAGGTGATTCTTTAGGAGTGAGAATGTGTTCCCATTCCCAAAGTGAAAAATAGTTATAGCTAGTTGTTTAGTAGATGTGCATTAGTGAATAAAAACTTCCCATAAATAAAATCCAGTCTTTTTTACGTTTTGTAGAGTTATTTTAAACAAAAAGCTTTTGCAACTGACTGGACAAATTAGCTAATTTAAAAATACAAGCATGGTGGTGGTTTACTTTCAAGATGGCGTCGCATTAGGGTCCTGGGTAGAGCATCATGGGAAGCAGTGGCATTGTATCCATTGTCATTGTAATTTACTGCCTTAATTGTTTGGACCGCAGCAGAAGGTTCTGCAGCTAACATCCTGGTGCCAGATACTGCAGTACACCTTCGGGGGTCCACAGGCTTCCTCAACAGGTTTGGGCTGTTTTGGCAGCAGAACGGCGACCGAAGCAACATTAGGCAGGTGGCCATAATGTTGAGCCTGATTGGTGGATGAAATGTAGTAAAGGCAGCTCCCAGCGTGCATGAAAAGGTTTCACCGTGCCAGAACATCTATTGCTTTTTTATCTTTAATTGTTTGTTTTGCTGTCATATTTGGGTTTTAAAGTAGAGAACAGGTTCATAAAAAATTATGTTTTATTTTTAATCTTTGTTCTCTTCCTTTAAAAAGAGAGCTTGCATCTCTGTGTAATAGAAAAGGCTACAGAAACATTTATTTCCAACATGCTGCAAGTTGTAATTTTTAACAAACTGCACCAAATACAGAAGGAATACATATGCTTCAGTCAAAAACTAATTACAAAACATCCATTTTAAATATCTGGGCAGGAGGAGGAAGACAAAATGCTGGTGAAGCTAAATCTATGCAGTCTTCATATAACACGTGTAAGTGATACAGTAGGAAGTTCTGTAATAAAACACCTGCAGGTCATCTCATCTTCCAAATTACCCTCTGATCATATCAGATCAACACATTTACCCAAATTACCTGAGAGTCTTCCTTCACAGTCTGAAAGCGAGTTGGAGAAACCCCAGGAGTCAAATCAAGAGTATTTCCAGGAAATCCTTATATTTTATGCAGCATGTTATCAGGATAAACCCAGAGACAATTTGGCAGTGCTTAACTTTAGCCTTCTAAGACTTCAGGTCCGTTGGGAACCGTTTTGTTTTAAAACGCAGAGATAATCAGACGGCGGAGAGGAAAGATGAACAATAAGAGGAAGTTTTTCAAAGCCTCTCCAAAGCTCCGCTGACAGAAAGTACAAGTCCTGTGGAGGATTTTGGTGCTTTAATCATTCACATGTGGGCCTGGCATATATCTATCCATAAATGAACGACACAAACAGCTGTTTGTGGTTTGGTATGCGTACTCACCGAGCATTATGAGCGTGGTGGTTCCCTGCTCGTTTCCAGATGGGTACGTAGCGTACTCGCAGGTGTAGCGCCCGGCATCGGACATGCGCAGGTCTTTAATCCTTATGGACGGGATCCTCAGGTTGTTTTGGAGAAAAATAACTCGATCCTTAAAGGCCACGTTGGGAAAACTCTGCCCATAGGTGGGGTGGTACACGGCAATGTTGTCCCTTTGGCCATCAACAGGTTCCCATATCCACGATACCTGGGAGAGCAGAGAGTTTTAATAAACACTGGAACATTAATGAGCTAATTCAAGGCAATGGAGTGAGAATAAAAGTATGCAAAATACTTTTATTTTGCATAGTCAGTTTATGACTTAAACTGTGTTTAAGTCATAAACTTAAACACAGTTTAAGTTTATGACTTAAACTGTGTTTTAAGTCATAAAACACAGTTTTATGACTTAAATTTGTTTTACATAATTAAATATCAATAAATAAAAAATGCCAACAGGCCTTTTCGGGTTTGTTTGGAGAACAAGGACAACACAACTGAACCACATTTAAAACGAAACATTTTATTCAGTGACTAAATTGAATTTGATAGACCAATTACCCAGATAAACAGATTTATAGAAACCTTGATTAAAAATATCAGTTTTACTAAACTGTGAAACGAAAATGTTACATTAACAAGAAATGTAAATGGATGATAAAAAAGGAAGAATCACCCTCAACCACCTCTGCTGCTAAATTAACATTTTGCCATTTTGCGGTTTATTATTACAGTTTTAACTACATTCATTGTTATTTTGATGCAGAGGAGGTTGATAGAGTGCAGATCAGAGTCGGTTTCACAGCGTGGACAGCCGACGTCAGAGAATCCAATGATTTATGTTTACATGTGTAGGAGGTGGAGAGTAAAAGGCTCTTAGCTGCTACTTTATAACCATCAAGTGGCTTCGCTTAAAGCGACACATTTCCCACTAAAATACACTGAATGGCTTACTTATCCAGTCAGCTGAACATGTAATCAGAAAGACTTACCAAACCTGCCTTTCCATCTGCACCTTGATACGGAACAGAAAGTCTACATGGATTCATGGAGATGAAATGGGAACATTTACAACAGTTACATTTGAAATTGTGTGCAAACAGTAAACAGAACACAATAAAGAGTGGTGCTGCATTTTTCAAGAACTTTGAACTTAATGGCTTCAGGACAAACTTTAGCCTCTTTAAGCAGAAATGACAAGTGACCCTTATAGGTAAGCGCTTGGTGACTGCTGTGTTTCATTGTCTCTGTGTGTTTTCACATGAGGGCAAAGTTCCAGCTACTGTAAATAAAAATATCTGTAAATAAATAAATCGAGTCCTCAGAGAGGCGTCATTGCCTCTGCTTCAAATATCAGAAGTCAAGGCTCAATAATTATTTAGCGTTGATGTAGCCACCTCATAAATAACTTCTAACTTTGAATCTCGGTTCAGTACAGGAGCAAACAGAAGTTCAGGTGCTTTTAAAATATGAAGGTGAAACTGTTATCAGCTGAAGTGTTCAGACAGAATTAGGACTTGTGTAAGGTGACAGCAAGTTTTAATGGGCAAATTTTTACAGAAATCTGAGAAGTAAAACATGGAAATATTGGAATTAAAGAGTATTTTTTAATTCTAATATGAGGATCTGACCTCATTTGAGAGAAAGACAAAAGTAGGCAATGAGCTATTTTAATATTAGCTCACAATCTCTCTGTTTTAGCATAACGTATAAGACTAGATCCAGAGTCTGCGACTCCAACCCTCAGGTTTGACTCTCCTGCAACTTTTGGATGCGTCCTGCTCCAACACACTTCAATCAAATGGCTGAATTACATTCTTTCCATGTCAGCAGGTTTTGCTAAGGCCTGGTCATTAATTATTCGTTTGATTCAGGTGTGTTGAAGCAGAGAGGAAAAGTTGCAGAACAGTGGCACTCGAGGATTGGAATTGCATTTATTGGCTGGAATAAGCCTAATAAGTCTCTACACAAAATATCTGGATTGGATTGCTCTACAGGACAACCTTCAATCATCTGTCAGCTGCTTGGATTCTTCAAGGGAGAGGACTTTAACTGTCCCATTTGGATTATTCTATATAGAACAATCCAACTTGGAGAAAGCAGCAAATCTCCCATCCATAGAAACATTGAATCTGATCAAAGAACTGTAATGATGGTGTGTTTGGGACTTTCACACCAAGAACCTGACATGTATTCACTGACATCTTCTTCTAAATGTATCTCATAGCTTTACTGATCCTTTTTTAGATTTCTATTCCTGCCACATATCCTCCACATTCAGTTCATTGCAGTACAACTTTGGAAATTTTAGGGATTTTTTTTAAAGTAATGACTTAAATAGATACATTTTTGATGACACTCAAGTTACTGAGATGCACCAAAATTAGCCAAAGTGGTAAAAAAGAAAAAAAAAAACACTTTGGGTAAGGGGACATAAATCTTTTACGGGACTGAATGAAAGATTTGCTTTACTTACAGATTCCCTCTCAAGGACCATTATAAGCTTTTCTTTGTGAGATTTCTGATTGTGACAAATATCGATATCTGCAGAGACTCTGCCCTGAGGGAGAACACTGTGATGCTTTCCCACATTGATTTCATTTTTCTCTGCTGTTTTCAAAGAGACAGCCGAATATTGGCTAAAGTGGGAGTCCAGGAAGGAGAGGGAATACAGCTCATCAATACACATTTAGCAAACATCTAAACGAATGACATCTGAGGGGGAAAATAACGCAGAAACAGAGGGGGATACAGACAGGGATGCAGATTCTACGCCACATATCATCTCAAATTAGGAGATGAGACTCCCTGTTCAGTTGTTGATTGCAGTGAAAATAAAACACAGGACTAATAAATCCATGTGCAATTTCAGATTTTGTATATGTGAGCAAATTACCTATTGATTCCAACCAGCAGCCTGAGGGCAACAGATCCCTAAAGATCCAACTGAACTAGCAAACAGCTCATTTATGTGGGGGTTTATGTATTCTATGAAATGTACTGGAAATGGGCAGGAAGTGGCGAAAACCATCACAGCTCCTGCAGAATTAATTAGTTTGCTTTGTTTACCTCTACATAGCTGCATGTTTAATATCTGATTGTTAATGTCAGTTTTTATAATACGGCATTCCTCCGGCTAACTGTAAAAACTATAATGGAAACATGTTTTTACATCACACCAGTCATGCCAGTTTGTATAAGAGCTTTTTGTATGTACTGGTCTTCTTGGACATTGCGCGTTACTGTGTGAGCAGAATTATCCACGTATCATATTAATTCATTTCTAATTTAAAATAAACACTGCAATTGCGAAAGTCTTACCATTTTACAACATTAGCAGGATAACAAAAAGTTTTGCACATATTTGTAATGGAGAAAACTTGATATAACCACCTGGGCTCCTCAGATAGAAAACAGTTTTCTACTTAGCTTTGAACACTGTACACTGTCAACACACCAATGCACAGTTCAGCATTTGGGGAATTTTGTGCAGAAAATAACTTCAATTTACTTGCAGGTTTTTTTTTTTTGTTTTTTTGTAGAGCATATCTAAAATATTCTAAATAAAATACAGCTGGGAAATTGCAGACATTTTTGATCTCTAGCTCCTGTAAATAATGGTCCATTATAACTACAAAAATTGAGAATATACTGAACTGAATTCAATGTAGGATTGGACATATTTAAATACATATTTTGGGATATAAATCTGTTTCATAGAAAGTACCTTTAGATTATTTTTAATCTAAAATAAAATAAACTTAGGAAATGAGAGATCGTGTATGTAATTTCATAATGATCGTACATTGGATGTTTTTATGCAAATCCATTAAACTCTGTGATGTTTAAGGTTTAAATTTGTGATGGAAGACAGACATAAATAATGCCAAGTTATTTCCAGAACTCGGTGATGTTTCTGTACGTGATAACAGAGCCTGCCAATAGCCTAATATAAAGTTTGTAAAACATGATTTGTTGACCAAAGCATTTATTTAGTTGACCTGTGGAACAGACTCAGACGCGTCGCACCGTTTTGTTGTCTGTAGCTCAGAGCAGCTGTTTGTTTTAGCAGCAGGGGTGGATGCATGCACAGACTCACTCAGCAGAAAGAGGACGCCTGAACAAAACACCAACTAGTGGCACCTTTCCATGGAGGTGTGGGCGTGTTTATTTATGCTGCAGAACAGAAGCTCTGCAGTGCATCTGCTAGATTACATTTATTTCCCTATGATTTTTTTTTTAATTCTGTAACATCAATGCCAAAGGCTGCGGTTTTCCTTCTCATTTCTTGTCTGCAGCTCATTAGAACATTGCTGCCGAGTTGAATCTGTTACATAGGCAGAAAGTTCAGTAAACGCAAGGCTCTTTGTTTTTCTTCCCACATATAGTTGGTAGGTTGATGCTCCTGGTTCTCCCTGCATTTCTGTTGTTTTTCTGTCCAACTTTTCAAATGGTTAGAGGCACCGCCCATACAGAGGCTGGTACTGGTTCTGCTGGAGTCAGAACCAGTACCAGTAATTTCTCTCTACTGTACCCGGGTTTTCTCTGGATGCAACACTGTGACTTTAAAAATCTTAGATGTCATCATCATTATCAAACTGAATTTGACTTTGTGTGAATTGCTGTTAGATTAGATTGGACTGAACTGTCAACAGTATGAATAAATGTTACCAAGTATTTTTAGTTAAGTTTCTAGTGAAAATATCTTAGTACACTTGAAATAAGACAAAACTTACAAGTAACTGTTTAGGAACTTGTTCCAAGTTAATTTCTTAATATTAATTTTGAAAAACAAAAGGACTAGTTCCACTTATTTCACTTGTATCATGGGAACATGTTTTGTTATTAGTGGAAAAAATCTGTTAGTGGAACCAGTCCTCCATCAATATGAACAAATATTAATCTAAAACAAGCTCAAATTTCTTGTGAAAAGATACTTGTAAGTTAGCACACTTTAAATAGGGAAAAATAAAGTTATTTGCACCAGAAACTAGACCAAAAATACTTATGATTGTGTTTTTGCAGCGTGTAAGATGAGATTATTTGTAATATGCTGATAAAGTAAATAATTTAATCTAAACAAAGTGAATTTACAAATCTTTACTAATTTGACATTATTTTTCCAAAGGCTTTGGGTCGCCCATCTGAATCACTGATTTGCTGAGTTCCAATCAGCATCTTGACCTGTGAGGCCCACAGACGGCTTCAACAAACATCCAAGTCAAACACGAAGCACTGGATGCAGAGGAGCTCTGGATTCTAGATCAGCGAAGATGGGCTCTCTGGAGTGATGACTCACACCTTTCCGTTTGGTAATCCAAAGCATAAATCTGGTTTAAATTAGCTTGGCTCTACACAGAGACACATTCTGAACAATTTCAAATTTTCAACTGTGTGCCAACAACTTGTGGATGTCTCCTTCCTGTACCAACATCACTGTGCACCGGCACAGAAAGTAAAGAGCAAGCAAGACTGATGTGAAAGATTCTTGAGAGGCAGAGAGTCCAGAAAGAAAACCTTCGGGACGAAAAAGAACAAACTACAAGCCAGATCTTCTCGGCCAACATCAGTGTCTGATGACAAAACCTCTGAAAAAGCTGCCACATTTTTACAAAAACAGACTCGACCTTTTGGACGGCATTGATAGGAGAGTTGAACCTGCATTAAAGCTGGGTTGTCATTAAAGGCAAGGGAGTTAAAAATGTCAGTCTGGTGTTTGTTGGGCCATTTTCTTGTCTTATTGAAATTCTCCGTTTTGAATTCAAGCATTTTAAATCAAATCTTGAAAAATGATGCTATCCCAGAATGATTAGAGGTTTGTAGCAAAGAATCACGTTTAATATGTGTAAATCGTTAAAACAAATCAATGTTCAGAAAAGTCTTGCTTAGTTGTAGCTGAGGCTCTGATACTTTGTGGAAAGACTGCAGAATGCAAATTATGATTTTAATAACTACTTACAGGTTAAATAGCATTAAAGTGCAAAATAAAATGAAGAGTATTTTTGGAAATCCTTAGAGAAAAGCTTAGATTCACAGAAAAATTGCTTTGTGTGGATGTTGCTGTATAAAGGGATCCACCAGTATGTTTTCCACTCATCCTCTGGTGCTTCATCCCCCACCCATCTGTTGATGGAGCCTCTTAGAGCCAGCTTTTATTCTGCTGTGGAGGCTGCTCAGGTTTCCACAAAAATCTGCTCTTTACCTCTATAAAAAGAAACTCTTTTCAACAGAACGTCGATCTCCTTTCAGAAAAACATGTTTATTGTTGATTCTTTGAAAGTTTTTGGGAGATGGAGGAATCTTGGCCCCAAAATAATCCAGTGCTCTCTCCTTCTAACCTTTAGAAAGTCATCAAAGCCAAAGCTTTCAAAGCTAATCAAAACAGTGTTGGTTTTTGTGCCAACCTGTGTGAGCTTGGTTAAACTCCCTCCATCGACGAATTCACAGCGCAGATCGACAGATTCTGTGGGATATGCCTCCAACTCTTCCTCCACTCGCACTTTCTGAGCAACGACACCTGCAGCAAGAGAAAAGGGAAAATCAGGATTTGCAAAATTCCTCTAAATTCAATTTTTAACCATTTCAAAATGACTAGCAGACTACGAATATAGCGTACGTCTGGAGCTATAACTTAATTAGAGATAAAAATGTTTGGTAACAAGCCTCGGGGAGCATCTCAGCCAGTTTTTTTCATCTCAACTCCTGCTTATTACAGTAAAAACCACCCACAGGGGGCTGGCGCTAGGGGGCGAGCCTCCAGGAACGCCACGCCGCTTGGGAATGTTCTGCTTTTGATGGAAAAGCAAAATCAGCTTATAACCCCACGCAGGAAAAGTTCTGCTGAGCAGCACCGGGCAAATGGACCTAGGTAGCTCCACAGAAAACAAACAGGGAAGTCGTCCTCCTTGAACTTAAAGGGAGCAGCAAGACAAGAAGTCAAACAGAGTCTCAGAGCTCGGCAGGATCTGGTTTTAATGAGCAAGTTTAGAAAAAAGGTTGAAAATGTATCACTTGTGCTTAAATTTGAGCAGAAACACCATCAAAACCTGAAAACTGGAGAGAAATGATTCCCTTGATTAACATGCAGCTCCGTTGTGTGACTGAAGGAAAAGTTCCAGATCATGACGGATCTCCAGAGGAATCCCCCATCAGAAACATTCAGATTACAGTTTGCTTTTTTTTTGTCAGAAAATCAAACTTCATCCCACTTTTCAAATCTTTGGACTTTGGAGATGCATATTCTTTTCTCTAAGCTCTTCTCTTGCAGATGTCATCTTCTGGTTATTGGGCTTCAGAATCGAGAAATTTGGGTCAATCTGCATATGTCTTCCTGAACTAGGCCATCTTTTGCTTTACAACAGGAATTTTTATTCCAACCTCCTGATCTTGGAGATAGATAGCTATGGACAGCTATCTATCCATAGCTGTCCATGGATAGATCCTTGCTCTGCCATCAGGAAGTAACTGGGGATGTTTCGATCCAGTATTGATATCGGAAATTGGTCCGATATAAACCAAAATCTATTGGATTTGATCGGACTTTATCTAAAATGTCCGACAGAAGCAAGCCGACAGAAACACCAAGCTTCAGCACTATGCTCCACTAAATAGTCAGCCCCAGCATATTTATCCATCAGCGCATGCGCAGGTCAGGTGACCTCATCAACAGTGTTTGCTAAACAAAGCCAGTGTCGACACAGTGGCAGTACTTTTCACTAAAGACCGAAAAACATGTTAGAGATGAGCCGAGTATAAACTTATCAAGCACAGAATCAGGGAAGTTTAATTAGACAAACCTCGTCACACGTTGGAAGCAAGCAAGAAGACTTTGTAAGACCACTGAAGAAAAAAACCTCTGGCTTCTTCAAACGACAAACTCTTTGAAATTAATCTAAGAGCAATCCTTCACATTATTGGAGAGCAAAACAAGAGAGAAAGGCTCTTTAGCACACAGTCAGCTGTCATTAACGAGGACAGCAACAAATGATTGACAGCGCAGCATGTCTTCTTCTTTTATTAATGGCGGTTGGCAAACAACCCTTTAGTGTACAGTACCGCCACCTACTGGAGCTCAGAGTGCCGAAATACTTATCTTACAAACAATCTGCATATTATGCTCTTATTGCTAAAAATTGAGATGAAGCCGTAATTTAGCTAACTAATTATCTATTTCTCTAGTTTTCTCTCTGTTTACACTTTGTTTTCTTAATATACATATTTTAAACCTCCGCTTTCAAGCTGGTTATGACCCGTCAGCGTAAAATGCAAATACTCAAAATGTCTTCTTAGTTTACGATTTCCATCAGTTTATAAATTTGAGTTTGTAAAAAAATAGAACAGCATCACAGTTCTCCTGGGAAACCAAATTTAATTTGTTAAAGTCAGCCTAAGTTGCTTTTAGTGTCTGAAGTTGACATTTCCTGACAGAATTACAAAATAAAGCTGATGTAGAGGATCATCGAAAGATCTGAATGCAGAAAGGAAACAAAGTTCTGTGAATATTCAGCCAAATTCTGCGAAAACAAAGTACCAACAATCACATTTAATGCTTCTTTTCTGTGTTTCTACCTTGTGCTAAATAAATTCATCATAATCTGACATTAACTGTTGCTGGCTTTAAACAATAGCTCATCATTTTATGAATTAATCCTCATCAGGAAGTTTCTAACCAGCAAAACTAATTGCTGCCTCTGCCCTTTGTTCAGAAATGGCACATGTTGCAGAAACACACTGTGTGTACTTCCTAAGATTAATGCACCATAATGAACTTGTTACACTTTAAATTAGGAGAGGAAGAAAGAAAGTGACTCAAAGAGAAAATGAAAGAAAAGCAGAAAGAAAGAGGAGGAACAAGAGGGGAAAACAGAGAAGTTGTAATCCTTTGTGTGTGTGATCCGGTCCAACAATCTGCCAGCATCTGGGAGAATAAAAGCCACATTTTCTGAGGAGGTTTTCATAGTTTGGGGATGACAGTCAAATCCCTTTTTTTGTTTCTCACTTCAGTAACTTCTACTGTAACTCTGGATGCCTACTTTCTGTTTCCCCCTGCTTCTCTGACCTCATGCGGAGATCTGCACTCCCCGCCACCAACCCTCTGCAGACCCAGTATCAAATCCAACCAGGGTCTCCTCTCCTGCAGCTCCCCTCTCAGCCTGCCTCTGGGCCTATAAAGATAAAATTATTGCTCGGAGCCGGCCCTCTCACTCTCCCTGCAAGAAAAGGGGATAAGCGCTCGCTAACTGCTCGCTAACCCCGGGTGGTTCTGCTGAAAAAGCCTCTTAGTGTGCGAGGGATTGATTAGGACAATAAGTTACAAGCAGCTGCATGGAGGTGAACGGGCCGGGGAGGATTTAGGCGGCAAATCAGCTGTAAAACACAGTCACACAAACAAAGAAAATAGAAGAAGTGTGCACGTGTGCCTCAGGCGATGCCGGGTTACGCTGGATTTACAGCATGCATGTAGCCGCATGACTACAAATACGTGGAAGAATGAGGATTTTTTTTTCACCGTGAAGTCATATGCATGCTTAGTGGTGTTGCTGCATGAATAAATCAGAGCATCTTCACTGTAATGTCAGTAGATGAGACAGACTCAGACTCTGAAGCTCAGTCTTTACCCTGAGGGGGCAATAAGGCTCCCACTTCCATGTAATTCAGACAAACACATAAAATCAAACCTTCACTTTTTAACCAGGTTTTACACAAAGAACCGAGATTGCATCAGCTTTTTATATTTCCTCTTTCCTCTCAATTAACTCATCAACATAAATCCTGCTAATCCCATTAAACTGATATGAACATCCACACACACCAGAAACACAAAAACAGGCACGAACTTTTAGATTATTTGAAGATGTCAAAAATGTATTTATAGCAAAAAATAATAAGAGAAAATGTGCTGTAACGTCGGGAAAAGATGGAGAGAAATAAAGCAGCATGATATTAAATATTGAAAAGAATTAAGGAGTAAAAAGTCAGGAAAAGTGTAAAAGAAGCTGGAAGGAAGGAAATTACAGAGACTGATAAATGCAACAGAATAAAATAACAGCGCAGAAAGAAAGTGAGGACAAAGATTTATTAATGTAAAGGGCTTAAAGTTATGACTAAGGCAGAGAAGACTCAGGGGTGGAGAGACAGGAAGTGTAGTTGAAAACGGTCAAAAAGAAGAAGCAGAAAGGGATGAGAGTTAAAAGGTGGAAAGAGACGATTAAGTTCCTCAAACTAAACCCCAGAACAAGATCAGGATAGAGAGGTTTTCTATTATTTATGCATTCATACCAACCAGCTGTAAAACATTGTTCTTACTAAAGAGATGCAAAATGTCACTTGTTTTCTCTGAAAAATTATCATTTAATAAAATGCATTTCCTGGACATTTGGGATTGAAAATGAATAAAGTGAAGGGTTCAAATGGCCCGTATGGAAATGCTTCGGTAAGAAATGAGGGCATAACATTTGCAAAGCCGAATACAGAAAAAAAGATCTGAGTCCTGGACTAGACTTGTTTTAACATAGCCAGATTTAAAATGCATGTCTTACCACATCGTTACAGGTTGTGCACGTAATTTGAGATGATGCCCACAGAGAAAGAAAGACTGTGTTGGCTGCTCCAGCTCCCTGTCTTTCCGGGTAATTTGAGCCGCTGGACTCGCCGTTCTCAGGGATCTCCGGACAGCAGCTGATCTAGTTCTCCATCTTTCAAACATAATTTCTATCTTTTGACCATAAGGTAGAGTTGAAACAGCTTCAGGCTCAGCACTCTTCACTACAGCAGACCAGATAGACTGATAAAGCTTCAGCACATCAGGTGTGAATTTGTAATTGAACTCTGATGTTCTACAAACCTCTGCCTCAGCTTGGTTGAAGTGAACACTGGCGCGGTTTGAATGCATATGTGAATGCCAAGCGGACCGGAGACTGCTCCAAAATTAGGAAAAGAATGATAGCGCAGAGAATTGGGTAAAAACAACCAAAAGAAATGGGAAAGTCTAGTGCCAGAGAGAAAAATGGCTTGGGTTCTTTTACCAACGATGAAAAAGAAATCCTACTATCACTAAACTTAGATTCCATTTAAAAAAATAAACCGCAGCAACTGAAAATGGAATAAATGTTGCAAATTTGGTCCCCGACTGAACCAAGTCTACACAATAAAAATCAACAGAGCCCATATCAATGACAAACATTACTCATACATGTCCCAAATATACATTTGACAGACTCTTTATGGTTGTCATGCAGAACTCTAGATGGAAACTTCTTTGCTTTTCCTCTCAGCACGAAGCCAGTGGCTGTCGTCATCCAGCTTTAACAATCGAAGTCTGTAATTCAACAAAGACAATTATTGGAAGAAGGATCTTTGTCAAATGAAATCACTGGTTGCCTTTATGCTTTTCAGAAAGAAGGTTAAACATATGCACGACGAGCTGTTGGGGAAATTGGTGTCAATGCACCTCAATAAACCTTATCTATTCCATCCTTTCCATTATAACCCCAATGATCCCACAATTTGCCTCCCATT